TGCTTGCAAGGCAGGCAGCAGAACCACTGAGCTAAATCCCCAGCGCCAACAGGAGACATTTTTAAGGGTGGGCGGCTGTCCCAAGTCTGACCATGCCTGCAAATTTGAATGCCACACTAGGTAAGAGATGAGCAGGGAAATGAGGCGGAAAAGGGTGCATGCTCTCCCCTCATCCCCTCCTTTAGAATAATTCAAGTGCAAAGGCATCACTTCGAAGGCCAAGGGCATGCAGGAGGCAGGGACCAGGGGCAGGGGCAGCAAGGGGAGGGCAAGGCCCTGTTTAGGGCCTGGCTCCCCCAGTACATGCCTCTCTCTGGCCTCCGTCTCTGCAGCCTCTGCTCCTACCTACTCACTGTGCTCCCTGGGCCTGTGTGCTTGTCTATAGGTGCCACCGTGGAACCAGGGGATCTCCAAAGTCCCCAACATCCCAGACAAGGAGAATCTCCAGCAGGGATTCCCTATAATACAGTGCCTCATGCTATTTCACACAATGTCAAATGCAAGGACAAGACACCATGTAAGTCCACCCAAGGGTGGCAGAATGTGGCTGTGGATGGATGTGGCTCAAAGCAACACTTCAGTGATGTCCACACCCATCACCACCGCCACCACAGCAAGGCCCAACTGATGCTCGCTGTCATTGGCCAAAGCCCCCTGTTCCACTCTCCCCAAACTCAGCTTCCGAAGCAGAGAAAGTGCTAATGGAGCCGGCTGTGGTGGGGCCTTAGTAGTCTTAAGTCCTGCTGACACCTGCTAGAGCCATGAGGATGTGTGAGACACCGACTAGGAGACTAACATTAGTGCAAGGCCTTGGTGACAGTGGGGCTGGGGACAGAGGGGGAAAGGGACAAGTTTAAGCAGGAAGGGAGCGCTCAGAATTTAATTCTGAGGAGGGGTGTTGGGACTTCTGGCAAGCCTATTGGCAGTTTCTATGATGAGCTTTGAGACCTGGAGATGGAGCTGCCACATGAGGTGTGGCTTAGGAGAAGCCCAGCAGGGGAAGGGGTGGGAGAGGAGGAGGAGGAGGAAGCAGGATCTGGTGTTGAAGGGACAGGCAGATATTAAGTCAAAGCTGCTTCAGCTGGAGGAAACCCACCCTCCTCAGTCTCAGGGAAATGCCGCCTCCCTTTGTCTGACTAGAACTAAACTGATAGGAGCAAGCGCTCAGCATCACTTACGGGGGCCCAGCAGGTAGCCGGCGCTGTTCAGGGTCCAGCCTCTCTTCTCTTTTGCCTTCGGTGGAGAAAAGGGGGGTCAGGGGAGTCAGAGTGGAGGTGCCCAGGCTCATCAGGCACAGCAGGGGTGGAACCTGAGAAAGCCTGGCCAAGTTACAGACACACAGGAAAGCTGCCCCACCAAGGAACTCCTTTCAGAGCCCAGCCCAGTCTTCTGCTGCACCTGGCTCGCTTTTATAGGATCCCAAGGACAGGTGTGATAAGGCATCAGCTGATCCTTGTTTTTCACTTACCCAAGCGGCTGAGCTCAAATGCGGCACCAGGGCTGTTTGGCACTGGAGGAAGCGTCCCCTGGGCCGCCGGAGCCCGCTTGCCTGGGGTTCCTTGGACCCTTCCCAGAGGGACCTGTCCCCACCCCTGGCGGGCAGAACTCTGACTTAACCTCCACCTGCACCCGGGCTGGTTCCCTCGCGGTCACCCTGTCTCCCTCTGCAGAGGCGTCCGTCCCTGCACTTACCGGGGCCCCGAGCACCAAGGTGGCCGGCAGGGCGGCGACGAGGAGGAGCGAGAGGAGCAGGAGGGCGCCGGCCCTGGCCATCTGGAGCGAGGGGAGCCGGCCTGTGGGCGCCTGGCCTGGCTGGAGCGGACGGGTGGCACGAGGGATGCGGGGCGCTGCCGGGGACAGGAGAGCGCGGACGGCACTGATCGGGTACCGTGAGCGGCTGCGCCCGGGGACGAGTCCAGTAGGGTCGGGTCGTGTTGATCGGCAGCGCTCACCGCATGGCGCGGCTGCAGCGGGAAGTGGCGGCCGGGCTCCTTCGACGAGTCCGCGGCCAAACGCTTTGCTGCCACCGCTATTTATGCGTCACGAGGCTCAGCGCCGCCTCCAGCCCGCTGGGACCGGAACCCCGCTCCCCCGGGACCGGCTTCGCGGCAGGGGAGCCCGCACCCTCCCCAGCCCGGGCCCGCGAGCTCCGCCCATCACCTCGGGTCTAGAGAGGAGCCCGACACCCCCTCCCCAGCCCGCAGCCGGGGTCCTGGCGGCTCTCCTGCCAGCCCCACGAGGGGGGCCCCTCCTCCCGGCACTGGAGTGGGGGGTCAGGCCGCGGACCGTCCTTGGTCAGGCGGCAGAAGCTCCCCCCACTCTTCTTTTGCTAAGAGGAATTCATCATCCAGATGCGGGACAACTGAGGGCCCTTCCTTGACACAGGGGCGCTGGGGTGGCGCCCCCTCCTGGCTCGGTACCGTCTAGGAGCACAGCGGGTTGAACAGTGGTTGAGAGGGGCCTAGCCCAGACTCCCCGGGCCACCGTGGGGGGGAGGGGGTGGCAAGTGGGCACCGCAGCAGAAGGGGACCCTCCTGGGCTCCTCCCCAAAGGCTTCCTGAACTCGAGTTCAACCACATGCATGGCAGCACCCTGGCCCTGTCTGTTCCTCCCCCAATTGGGACATCAGGGGAAATGTAGGTGGCACCTCCAGGCTTCTGCAGAGGGAGGGGACTGTCGGCCTTCCATGTGCCTGTCTGTGCCCTCCTACCTGGCTGGATGCAACCCAAGTCCTCAGCAGTCTTTTCCTTGGCAGCCTTGACAGTGGAAAGAGGAGGGACAGCTGAGATGTGGCATCGCTTGGGACTCAGAAAAGAGGTGACAGGGACACCTCTCATGCCTATGTCCTTGTATGTACATGGCATTGAGGAGCTGCCAGGGGCTGGGGCTACTGTGCCCAGATGACCCAAGGAAGCCAGCTTTGGCAGCTGTTGGTTCCTGGTGAGTCCTGCTGTCGTTCCAAGATCTTGCTTACCTTCTGAGAACGAATCCATCCCAGTGGATGGGACGTCTTGGCCAGCCTCAACCTCTCCTTTCTGCTACAAGTCCCTCTTCCAATCTTACCAGAGACAGAGAACACATTGTTCTCAGTCTTCCTTGTCAAGGAGGCTTCTAGTCTGTTTGAAAAAGCAGACATTCTAACCCTAAATTTTTGGGATAAATTAAAAACTAGACTCAAAGCCTGTCCCTTAGTCATGAGCTGGAAAATGAAGCATGTTCTAATAAGCTTTCACTTGGCTCAGTGTACTCTCTGTTTTCTTGTTCTGCTTTAAAAGAAACTTTGGGGTAGTTTACCTGTAAGAACCTCCTTACAGGGCCATATATCCTGGCACATGCCTATGATCTCAACTATTCAGGAGGCTGAGGCAGGAGGATCATAGGTCCAAGGCCAGCCCAGGAAACTTAGCAAGACCCTGTTTAAATTTTTTAAAAAGGGCTGGAGCTCTAGCTCAGTAGTAGAGTGTTTGCCTAGCATGTGTGAGGCCCTGGGTTTCATCTGCAATAAAGTGCCTTTAAGCCATCCTCTCTCCTGCAAATATTTAAAGCCAACAGGTGAAGAAGGAGGCACCATTGATCACCAATATTTAAAGCCAACAGGTGAAGAAGGGGGCACCATTGATCACCTGTGCTGCTCTCTCGTGTCCCCAACGTCCCCAGGAAAATTCAGTCATGGAGCCATGGCTGGGGTCTCACAGTGGGGACAAGGTGGCCCCTATAGGCACAGTGCACAGCCTCCTGCTTTCCCCAAGTGAGGACTGACTGAAGCAGGACTGTCAAACTGTCTCCCGATGGTTCCTAAGCTTTCCTGAGGAGCAGAGCCCTCATCCATGGGCTTGGAGCAGCCAGTAGGGCAGTTTGGGGTCAGACGAGGCATCAGCACCACAACCAATGGGAGGAAAAAAATATTTATTTATTCATTTATTTATTTAGTAGAACTCACCTTTGCACTGAGCTGCATCCCAAGAAGCTCCTCCCCTTTTTGAGGCAGGGTTTTGCTAAGTGGCTAAATTGCCCAGGTTGGGTTCAAACTTGCAGTCCTCTGGCCTCAGCCTCCCAGAGGGTGTGCCCGGCTAAGATTTTTTTAAAAAGCCAAAAACCAGGTGCCCTAATCCCAACTATTCAGGAGGCTAAGGCAGGAGGCTCACTTAACCCCAGGAGCTCAAGGCCAGCCTGGGCAACATAGTGAGTTCTTGGCTCAATACATAAACAAACACAAATTTAAAAGAAGCTGAAACCACCCTTTGGCCATATTTTTCACATCGTCTTGTGAAAAAATCAGAAGCAACCAAGGGCAAATCTCATGTGTGCCAATCCATTTAAGGTTTCAGTGGATAACTAGGCTCCTGTACTCTATAAATATACCCCTGCCTGCCTTCTCTAGCATCCAACGTCCTCCCCCAATGGACACAGCACTTGCTGTTCCTCTCTTGTCTAGGTGAGGGGGTCTGTACCTACCCGGGCCGTGGCCGGGACCCTGGCCCAGAAGTGCTCAGTGTGTGCCACTATACCTGCCACAGAGCAGGCAGGACCAGGAGGCCACCTGTGGCTTCCCACGATCAGCAGAGTGGGTGAGGCCGAGGACAGCATGACGGCTGGCAGCTCTGCTTCCGGTGCAGGCTGTGCTGGAACCCACGGCCAGTGTTCTAATGGGCTCTGTGCTCAGCAATGACCCATTGAGAGTCATTGTCAACTTGTCATCTTCAAGACTGCCCAGTATGTGGTAGACAAAATGGGTCACCATTAGAGTAATGGAAAGCAGCATCTCACCCCCACCCTGTGAGCTGGCTCATCTTCCCTTAGAAGCTCTGCTCACCACTACCCAGAAAAACAACCTGAATCTGACAACCCCCAAAAGCAAGGGCCTGAGGATATCTGGACTGTGACCCTGCATGGGAATCTGTCCTCTCACTGACCTGGCACTGGGCTACACAGTGACAGGGGCAGCAGAGGTCCCCAAGCTCACGGAGATGACATTCTAGTGGACTCACACATTCGAGAGAATGACACAACCCCCTGCTTATCATGAGAAGGAGGCACATGGATTCAGGGAGCCAGACCTGACAGGTGGGCAGGGGATGGGCAGGTAGAGCGGGCCCCTGAGCATTCCGAGGGGAGGGGATCACATGGGGAGGCTCCTTTATGTTCTTTCTTCTTCTTGCTGCCTGGAATGTGGATGCAAGAGCTGGAGGGGGGAGCTATTTTGGACCACAATCTGATGGCTTCAGATGACAGAGAGCAAGACCCAAGGACCCTAGGTGCTGGGTCACCCTGAGTGAGTCCCTGAGCCGCTGATTCTAGGCTTATTTCATAGCAGAGACAAATGTACTTCTCTCTTATTTAAGCCAATGTTTTTGAGGGTTTTCTATTATCTGTAGTTGGAATTACTGTAATCAGTGTCTCACATAAAACACTCAACAAACCTTTGATGAGTAAATTAGTGAATACAAAAAAATGAAAGGCTCCATCACTGCAGATGCTGGCAAGGAGCTGATGTCGGTAAGACGGGCTCTTAAAGGGCCAGGCTGGGAAGAGTGTGACAAATGCACACCACCTGCCGGGTCCACCCTGACCTCATTACTACTGGGAAAGTGAGTAAATGCAGGGTGGTCTATAACTGGCCTTTCCCTCACATGTACCCTGGAGTTGCTGCTGGCCATCCCAGACATCCCTCGCTGACCACTGCCCGCGCTCCTCTGGCACTGAGACAGGGGACGAATGCAGCCGGCAGAGCTGGGGGCACAGAGCCCCACCAAACTCCATCCCCCAGGGAGATGTATCGAGGCAAGCCTGGGGCCACTACAGCAATGCTGAGATCTGCATCTTCTAAAGGTGCGTAGTCACCTTTTCACCCGCTGGCACCCTCCGCCCGTGTCACGGGGAGAAGGGGTCACCAAGGCCTCTCCTCCGCCAGCCACCCCGGACGGAGCTCAGTGCAAGCTCTGGTCTCCCTCATATTCTACAGCGAGTGGAGTGGGGGACGTTGTTCTTACGGCCTTGCATTGGTCGTCCTACAAGCCCTGGGCTCTTTCGCGTGCTCTGTCCTTGCCTGGAAACCTTGTACCCTTCTCCCTAACCCACCCTTAGCCAAGCACCCCCGGCCTGTCCTCCACCACCCTGGGCTCAATGCCTAGAAAATCTCCATTCACCGCCCACCGCAGCCCCGCCCACCACTGGTCTCCCCTGCAGGCGCCCACCCTGGGGCCCCGCCCCTACGGTGAGCTCTGGAGTTGAAATTCCTCAGGGAAGGTCCCTCTGGTCAGAGGAACCAGACCTCTCTGCGAGTTGGGGGCTGCATCTGCGCCCTGGGGTGACGCACGCAGTTGTACGCTTTCTGGGCAGTTCAGTCTGGAGGAGCGAGAGCGGCGATGGCCTGGCCCGCGATTGCCTGCGGTGGGGGCAGGTGGAGCGCTGACTCAGAACTGCCCGCCTGCCCGGGAAGGCTGCACCTGTTTCCTGGCCCTGAGTCAGGCCCGGCTGCAGCTCCACAAGCCATCTGGGAGCCCATCTGCCTAACGGGATTCAGTGCCTCGGGAGAGGGAAGGAGGGCAGAAAGGCTGCGGTGGGGACAGAGAGAATTAGGGTCATCCTCCCAGTGGGGAGGAGGGGGCTTGACCACACACAGTCTTGCTGCTACCTGCTCCTCAGGGACCTCAGAAACCATTAGTGCTTACAAAGCCTTTTGTTGAAGTGTGATCTACTGACACAAAAGTTGTAAGTGCTGAGCTGGCTGCAGGTTCACAGGCACACCTGTGTCACCAGCTCCCCTTCTAGGGGTGGTACACCAATTCCTCAGGCACCCCAGGGTTCCTTCTGTCACTTTCTGCCACTGCCCCCGACAGCATCCACCATCAGACTTTAAGGTTCCTTTCACCCAGTTTTACACTGTGGTAACCAGGCACAGGCCGTCCCTGGCTGGTGTGTGTCCCCTTCCCTCCCAGGTTTCTGTGGCAGCTCCGTCACACTGGTTTGGGTCACTGCAGGTCCAGGACCAGGGAGTGACAGTATCCCCCAGCCTCACCCCCAGCTGTAGCTCTGTGGGAGGGGCCGCATCATCTCTGAGAGTTCACAACCTCTGGAAGGAGAGCTTCATGCCAAAGGCTCCCTAGACCTGGCATGCCCTCCTCGCTGGGGTGACCAGCCATCCCAGGTTCCTAGGATGGATGGGTTTGGGGGACATGGGATTTTGTGTGTGTCAAAACCAAGAGGTCTTGGGCAACCCAGGATAGCTGGTCGCCCCATTCCCACATGCCTGTGCTGGGGGCTTTCCCTCTCTGAAAACCTGGCTTTGCTGACTGCCCATGTCTTGGCTCCGGGGAGCACCCCTCCATCTCCCTCCATGGTCTTCCCTGGG